GACAGCTTAGGCCCTTCTCCACAGGAGTGGGCCTAAGTCATCAGTTGGACATATCCCAATGGCTCCTGGACTATGAGAGGGCACAGGCTGGGTTGAGGTCCCCCACATCGGGTGCACAAATCTTGTGCACTGAGCTTCTAGTAGTATGATAATATCATTAATTGTAAGAAATTATATTCCTTATGCTGTGTAAAAACACTCAGGTGTAAAACACATCAGGGAAGTTGTCTTTGGGTGAGTCTTAAAACTCCTGTAAGAGTGGTATCTTACTATATAATTTTTACTTTCTTGAGTGAAATGGGAAAAAGGCTAAGAGAGAAAAACCTTACACATGTAATTTAGAGAAAAACCTTACATATATGATTTAGTATTTCTGTTTCGGTATCTCATCTTTTCTTTAGTTTTATCCATCATAGTTTATTATGTTCTGACTTGTCAGTTCAGGCTTTGGGATTCAGATCATTATTTGGTGTCCTCATCAAATGCAGGCCTTCGTGCTGAGTCTGGTTTTCTCTGCTTCATGGTTGGTAAGAAAACCCAAGATCATTGCAGCTCCAAGTGGAGAGTCTGTGTTTGGGTGGAGATGTTTTCCACATCAAGCCCTTGAGAAATGAAGGGAACAACCTTTTAAGTCATCTTGCCGTACTTGGGAAGCATCCTGTATAATTAAGAGTTAATATACCAATTAGACTGAACAGCAGAACAACCATTTGACATCCTTCCAGATGACCATTCAGACAAGGTTCCAGACGAAGCTGGGGCTGTGAGGGGCGAGCCCCTTGCACGAATTTCATGCATCAGGCCTCTAGTTTATTAACATAAAAGACGGGAAAACGGGTGGTAATTTTTCTTCTAGCAGATCAGAGTACTCATTATGTATCATCTTAGGTGTAGAAGGGAGAGAGAGGTTATTATTGTCGCCCCTGTGAGTCAACTCACCTAGGAAAAGGGGAGAGAGGTGCTCAGCCTTGTGCCCCCTAACTGTAGTCTTCCCTGTACATCTTAAAATGCTGGAGTTTCTGTGAGTTCTCTGTGTCCACATTCCAGATCCTCAGAGTCATCCTTACTTTTTACAAAAGGGTTGTCATTTTACCCCATTTGAACCTATTGAAATAACATGGATCCTATGATTTGTGATATTCACCTAAATTCCACACCTTATTCACAAAAGAGTCTTTAATATGTTTCTAAGGGTAATGAACTTGAAGTCTGATGACCCAGTTTCAAGTCCAGGAGCCATAATTTATCCATATGACTCTGAGCTTAACCTACTTGTGCCATATTTTCTCTATTTGTAAAATGCTGATAATAACAGTTGCTGTGATTTTTTTAAATCTCATCAAATTGTTTTGAACATGAAGAATGTGAAAATATTTTGTAAGTCCATATATATATATATATAATATATTATATCTTCTTATTTTGCTATTTTAAAAGTATTAAAAACATTGATCAGATTCCCCTACACTTCAGATTCCTTTCAGGCAAATTAGTCGAGTTACCAGAGAGGCAAAAATAAATAAACAGAAATAAAGTCAGCATGAAGTGGCTGTAGGTCATCACGATGCCTGTCGACTCCCATTTACCCTCTTGGTTCCACTGAACCTTGCTACTCAGAGTGTGATCTGTGGGTCAGAAGTGCCGGCATCACCTGGGAGCTTGCAGAGGCTCAGGTCCCCCAGACTTCCTGACTCAGAGTCTGCATTGCAACAAGACCTCCAGGGGCTTTGTGTACACTTTTAAACTTGAGAAGTACAATATCGCACACCACCTGGCGCTTGTAGCATGCGAGGTGACACTACACAGTAAAGTAATGAACGTTTTTTATTTTAATTATTAGGTTTGAAGAAAAGATTGCTAACTCATGAACCCAGTTGCTTCATAGATTTTCTTTAAGGTGATGCTAACAAGTAGTCATGTACATATATTTAAAAGATGAGTTGATTTAACAGAATGATTGAGTAATAGAGTAGTTATACTTGGATATAGCAGAAATGATAAAGACGACTCTTGAGCGATTGGTCTTTGGGTAACTTTAGATGGGAAGCTTAGTGGGATTTGGAGCAGGTCGTAGTACCTGGGAGGACTTCTGAAATGCCTTTAACCTTAAACAAGGATGCATGTAGAAGGCACAGCTACTGTGTTTGCCAAGGCCCCAGACCAGACCAGGGGTGTCCAGAATCACCACGCACTGACCAGACTGGAATACAGTCTGAACTATGGTCCTTCCTTTATCTCTTTCACTCAGTGCTCTGTTGGGAAGAGTTCAAGCACCAAATCCTGTATTGCTTTATTGAAAAGTTAGAGGAACTGTAGGGACAGAAGATTCTTCAGTTCATTTCTCTGTGCCAGCCTTTAGCTAATTGTCCAATCTATGAGCTGTTTATTCAGGAAAATTTCATTCCTTATATTCATTTTCTCTTGGGACACAATTATGGAGTCAAGTTCAATTTTTCATGAGGTCAGTTTTTAAAGATTTTGCCTACACTTTTTTTTTCCTTCTCTTTCATTTCTTCAGTAACTTTCAAAATCATATAAGTAATACCACTAAATTCTTAAGCACTTGGCACGTAGAGGGGGAAATGCTTTATGAGTCCCCATGCTGTGCTTGCACTAGTGCCTTGTGAATTTTCTCTGAACCGTTCCCATGTCCCACACGGGCTTCTAAAGTAAGCATCTGTATTGTTCTTCAGTTCCTCTTCCCATATTTTCTTTAGCCCATTTGTACTCCAACTTGACATTATACTCCGATTTTTATGGTTTGTGATTATCCACCTGAATCCATCACCTTAGCCAAACTGTAGAGTTTAGTTGGGAAGGATTTCATTGGAAATGAAACTCTTTAGCCTATTGATTGGTATTACTGCTCCCCATGGAATACCTTCCCTGGAAGAAGAGCCTGACATCACATTTATATCTACTGAAAAAAACAATCTGAAACATAAAATGGTATTAATATTAAAAAAACAAAAACCACCCACCTTTACAGAGATTTATAAATTGAAGAAGGATAATAACTGGCACTATTGTAAAGAATGACATCTATAATAATTCTTCAGTTGTCTGCACACAAAACTAAGGTATATAAAATGACAGTGTTTACAGCATTGTTTATAACTAGAGGCCTGCTGCACAAATTTGTGCATGGGTGGGTGATCGGGGCCAATCAGGGCCAGCCGGCTGAGGGGTAGGGACCATGGGAGGTTGGCCAGCCACAGGAGGTTGGTTGTAAGAGCTCACTGACCACAAAGGGGAAGCTCCTGCATTGAGCATCTGCCCCTGGTGGTTAGTGCAAGCCATAGTGACTGGTCATTTGTTTGTTCAGTCATTCAGTCGCTTAGGCTTTTATATATATAGTAGAGGCCTGGTGCATAAAATACATATATGGGGAGGGGGGTGCCCTTAGCCTTGCCTGCACCCTTTCACAATTTGGGACATCCCCCTTGCAATCTGGGACTTCTGACTCCTAACCATTGGCTGGCCTGCCTGCCTGATCTCCCCTAACCACCTCTACCTGCCTGCCTGATCTCCCCTAACCACTTGCCTACCTACCTGGTTGTCCCTAGACATTTTTCCTGCCTTCTTCATCACCCCTAACCACTTGCTTGCTTGCCTGATTGCCCCTTGCCTGCCTCTGCCTGCCTGCCTGATCATCCCTAACCACCTCTGCCTCAGCCCCGCTGCCACAGCTTCATCCAGAAGGATGTCCAGAAGGTCGTTTGGCTGTCTGGTCTAATTATCATAGTATACTTTTGTTACTATAGGTAGCCTAAACTGAAAGCAGTCTCGGTGTCCCTCAGGATAGTTTGCAAGTAGTACCATTATTGAGGCAGTTGAATAATATTCATCAGTTAAATATGTTATATTTATGTGAAAAAAAGTGGAAAAAAAATAAAATATAGAAGACTAAATAATATGATGCTATTTGTATTTTTAAAAAAATGAGAGATGGGGCAGAATAAAAGGATGCTACCAGTAACAGTTAGCTTTTAATTCCGGGAAGCGGTCCAGGAAAAGAGAGAGAGAGAGAGACCTTTAATTATTTTAAAATGTATAATTTTGAATTTAAAACAATTCTGTGTGATAAATATTAGTTATTATTCAGATGTGTGTAGAGATGATGATTAAACAGTCATGTCATTTTCTCTTCCCAACCCATGCCCCCCTCTGGTTCCCACCTGCACCCCTATGTGTCCCCAACAGTGATGCTCTTCACTTTCCCAGAGGGATGGCTTTTGAGAGAAAAAAATGTATCAGTGAAGTGGCCAAAAGGTTGGCAATTGAGGGAAAAACAAAGACTTTGACTAGGACCAGAAAGAGAAGGCCCTATGCTAAAAATGCACTGTTCTTTCTTGGGTTGTTTCAATTAGCCATTTAAATAATTCAGGTAAACATAATGGCATTTTCCTAAAAGAGAATTTGGTTTGGCTTTCCTGGATAATTATTCCAATTACCTGTTGTTCCTACAAGGAAAACCAGGTTATAAATCGTCCTCATTTCCACCGCTAGTTTGGGTGGGGGCTTTGGGTTATTGATGGAGTTTTCTTTGAAGTGGACTTCAGCCTTTTTAAAATTAGGCCTATATATGCTTGTGTCTCAGGGCTCAGGAAATGCACTTGAAAATGTTGAGGTGTCTCAGTTTTTAAATCAAATAACTGTTCTACATATACGTATCATTTAAATATTTAATATAAAATTTAGTAGTGAATATTTTCTAGTTTTCAGCACCCCTCCTCCACCCCAAAAACTTCATCCCCCAAGACTGTTACTAGTGCCATCCACCTGTCCATCATTCTGCCTCTGAGGTTAGGACTCTGGGTATCTGGGAGCCATAACCAGAGATACTTTATGCCAAGTGAAGTATCTACCAGCTTTCGTACTCAGTTGTGTGGGATGTTCTCTCAACTTTATTTCTCATTTTTTGCTACCACCAAGTTCTCCCTCTGCATTTTTTCTTCTGGTCTGGATTCTCTGGTAGTGACCATGTTCATTTCTTTCAGATGGAGACTATTTTACCTTCACAAGACATGAACCCATTGGAGTGTGTGGACAGATCATCCCGGTGAGTGTAGATCCTCATGCTTCGTATTTATTTTCATTTGAACCAGTTCTCTTAAAAGATACATAAAACATGGATCTCAGTGATGTGTGTTTTCCATTACTGGGGGAAAAAAAACCGAGCTCATGTTGTTGACATATCTTTAACAGCCTCCCTGCGAATGCTTATTTGAACAGGTTAATAGGGTTTCAGCTCCGTTACCAGGAGTTGAGTTCTCAAGTCATGGAATTCTCATGATTAAAATAAGCAAAGCAAAGCCCAATGTATTAATAACCTACCCTAGGTTATGGATGTCCATTCAGCTTATGGAAAATTAATGCTTTGTTATATTTGCTTGTTTATTTTTTAAAACTGTGACTCACCATCTTTCTAGGCATACTGTTTTATATGGTCTTCTAATCCCATTCTTTCTCACTGTTTCTTTTCACAAGAATCTAGATAGAAGACTCCACAGAAGACACAGCAGTACATTAACGTCACGGTCATAATTGAAACCATGCCGGGCTGTTGTGTGTCTTGTAAAGGGAAATAGATGTAGTGCTTAGTGTTTGGATTGGAACATTAAACATTGTATTTTTTTCCTGCCTTTCTCCCATACACAGCCGTGGCATTATACAAAACACCATCCAATCTTCCAACAGTGCTAGCTCCTCATTCTGGCCAGGATTTCAGGGGAGGCTCAAACTAAACTCTTGCATTGTAGACAAGGAGTTTTCTCTTTTAAAATCTATGAGAATGAGTTAAGATCATCTTTGGGCTTGGGGGGGGGCGGTAAACATGTTTTAGAGATATCAATATTCTTTTCATGAGCTATAGACTTGGATTACTGTGAAATTTATTGTATTAGAGAATGAAAACCGAAAATGAGAGGTTTGATTTAAGTTCTTCTGCTCCTCACCGCCCTCCCCCTCTCCCTCACCCTCTTCCCCATTCCCCCCCCCCCTTCCCCCTCGCGCGAAATCCCACTTGGATCAGAGGAGGGGTGAGGTCTGTTACCTTAATTGCAGGAGCTGAAGCCTGCTCTCCTGGCCCTTCCCTGACTCTCGGGGCAGAGCTTTCACTGACAGGACAAGAGCTGCCTGTCAGCCACTCCGCTCGGTTACCACGCTCCAAGATTTATATGCTGTAGATGGAATTGAAACATCACTGTGGACTCCCAAGTTTATAAACAACGAAGGGGAAAAGAAATTGGGTGTTTGGTGAAGGCAAGACACTTGTATATTTTTGCAAGCTTGCCAGGGCCAGTGAGAATCTTTCAGGGTGGCAGCTGAGATGCTTCAGGCAGAAACGCACTGTGGTCAGGCTGAAGCCAGGGGACCAGCCATTCTGCTTTCTTTCTTAATGAAATTATCAGCAATACCTGATAGTCCTGAGGCTCATGCCTGTGCTTAGGACAATGCAAGCTCAATATTCTTTTAAAATCATGTTTGGCCCCAAATTCAGATACATATATTTTTTGGTCTCTATTAGCTTATTTTGCAGTGGAAAGTAAACAAACTAAAATGTTTGCCTACTCCAAAAGCAAAGATGGACTTTATTTTATAATCATGTTTTTGTGATAATATATATTATCATATATGATATATATATATATATATATATATATATATATATATAATATTGATATATATATGCATTGACGTATGCATTGACTTAAATATAATTCACAGCTGGCATATTCTCTTCTAGTTCTTCCCCCCTGGAGAGCTTTCATACCCGTCTGAAATCCCTGGTACAAAAATCACAAGAAAAAGTTTTCATACACAAGAACCTCCTGGAACCAGTCTTGCTTTAAAAACATATAAAATAACAATAATAATAATTAAAAAAAAACAAAGAAAAAACCCCACAAAGACTCTCTTTTCACTGTGTGATTTCTTTTGCTGGGTAGTTGAAATATAGTAATTTGGATTTCCAAGGCCAGTTCCTATTTTATTCTTAATGAGGTAATTTTAAAAATCCAAACATCTACACTTTGTGGTGGGACAAGATTTATGTTGCGGACTAGTCTGAGAAATCTGAGAAGTCACAGCTTGAAAACAAAGTAGCAGAGGGATAGTTTTCCACCTACCAACCTCATTTTTTCCCCTTTCAGTGGAACTTCCCCCTGCTGATGTTTGCCTGGAAAATTGCTCCAGCTCTGTGCTGCGGCAATACAGTAGTTATTAAACCAGCAGAGCAAACACCACTCAGCGCGCTCTACATGGGAGCCCTCATCAAGGAGGTAAGAGAAGCCGCCTTCAGAAGCGGCCCCTGCTCCGTGCAGTTGGGCCTTTTGGGGCATAGCTGATTTCACCTGCTTCTCCAGCTCTCACAAGCCACCCTTCCTCCAATTCTGTTTTGTTAGGCTGGCTTTCCACCAGGAGTCGTCAATATTTTGCCAGGATATGGGCCAACGGCTGGGGCAGCAATAGCGTCTCACATTGGCATAGACAAGATTGCGTTCACAGGGTCTACTGAGGTAGGTACCTGGAAAACCATGGGTTGAACAATCCTCCACGTGAGTTGAGGGTTCAAAAGAAACAGGAAAAGTTACTGAGAGGCTGGTCACCAAAGGGGCAGTGGGCACCCAAGCCCTCCCAAGGACATTATTGGTGTCAGGGCTTGGATACTGGTGAATCTCAAACCAAAGGCACTCGTTGACCAGTGCGGCCACAGACCCTTGGTCTTTTTGTGTGTGATGCCATCTGGGTAAAACCTGTCTCAGAAAAATAAACAAAACCCTATTGTCTTTTGAAATAAAAGAAACACAGAGGCAAAAACAAATAAACTATTTCAGAAGACACTTTCCCAATGATTGGGTTTCTGAACACTCTCTTGAGTCAAGAACAATAATGGCACCAGCCAGTTAAGAAGCTAAAAATTAAACTAATCTCTGGTAGATATTAGAATGGGAAGGTTCTCTTCTGTTTATCTCCACCAGATCCTGTAGATGCAACTGACAGCTACCTCTGCCCATGAGTCATAAGGGATGAGATAGAGCAGAGGACAGCAAGCTTTTCTCTGTAAAAGGCCAGGAGATAAATAGTGTAGACTCTGCAGGCACTACTGTCTCTGATGCAGCTTCTTAACTGTGCCCCTGTAGCACCACGTAGCCACAGGCGGTGTATAAGCTGAGCATGGCCCCAGGCCCATAAAGCTTTATTTAAAGATACTGAAATTTGAATTTCATATAATTTTTATGCCTTTCAAAATATGAATCACTTTGAAATTTGTTTTCCAACCATTTAAAATCACAAAAACTGTTCTTAGCTTGTGAGCCATATTGGATAGACAAGGAGCCAAATGTGGCCTCTGAGCCATGGTTTATTAATCCCTGCCTGATATGGAGTCACAAGTCTGCTTAGAGGGTTTATAATAAAATGTTACCCCAAAATGTCTTGGATTGAGGTGACAAAGGTGACAAAAGATACACTGACTCACTTTACCAAGTGGAACTTTATGGATGACATCATCATTAAACAAAGGATGTTTGCAGGTCTAGAGCAGTGCTACCTAATAGAAATATAATGAGAGCAATATTTGTCATTTAAAATGTGCTATTAGCCACATGAAACATTTTAAGTTAATTAATTTTAATGATATATATTATTGATTTCAGAGAGGACTGGAAAAGGAGAGAGAAATAGAAACATCAATGATGAGAGAAAGTCATTGATTAGCTGCCTCTTGCATGCCCCCCAGTGGAGATCGAGCCAGAAACCTGGGCATTTGCCCTGAGTGGAAATTGAACTGTGACCTCACGGTTCATAAGTCAACACTCAACCACTGAGCCATGCCGGCTGGGCAATTTTATTTAATCTGTTATTTCCATATTGTCATTTCAATTTATGATCAGTATAAAAGTCATTATCCCAGTACTTTACATTCTTTTTTCATTATGAAGTCTTTGAAATCTGGTATATAGTTTAAGTTTATAGCAGATCTCATTCTGACTTTTCAAGTGCTTTATTACTATTTTAAAAATATTTTTATTTATTTTAGAGAAGGAGAGGGAGATATAGAGTTAGAAACATCAATGATGAGAGAGAATCATTGATTGGCTGCCTCCTGCACGCCCCACACTTGGGATTGAGCCCAAAACCCAGACATGTGCACTGACTGGGAATCAGACGTGACCTCCTACTTCATAGGTCGACGCTCAACCACTGAACAATGCCAGCTGGGCTCAAGTGCCTTATATTGGACAGCACAGGTCTATGGACTTGAGTATATCTGCTGATCCAGTTAATGGTACTTGGTTAAACTGACAGATGTTAAAATATTTAAATAAGAAATTAATTGATTAATAAACCTGATGTTAATTTATAGTTTCACATTGTTGTTTTATGTTTGTCAACCTTTTATTTTAGTTGTAATCACTATAGTAAGTTTGAAATTTCAATGAAACATAATCCAAAATGTGAGCTTGAAAGAGAATTATTATTCCTATTTCAACCAAGTCTAATGTGTTGAAAAGATTTGCTAAGGGCTAGATGCTTAAGAAAACTGCAGTTAATGAAGAGTGGACAAGGCAACTGCAAAAGATTGGGGGGAATATAAATCTAGATAGAGCATGCACCTGGATTACTTTGCAAATGTTTTTAAGTCCTCACTGCATTTTAAAGAAACTGAAACCAGAAATCTTAAACAATATTTTAAGGATATAGTTTACTAAGAAAGGACAGGTGGACCCCTAGTTAAAGAAAAGTCCTTGGTCCTATACCCAAAGGTTGCAGAATGAGTGTACGTATTTTTAAAACTAAAATGAAGTACTTAAAGTATCTTTCCCTATACTTTAACCTTTTTCTCATTAACCAACAAATGGTCCTGGTTGAGTCAGTTGAGAGTATTGGACTATATCATAATTTTTAATAAAAATGAGTTCATAATATATAAAATGAGATATCGGACTTTATATGTCAGCCTTTATAGATCACCTTCATTCTTTTTTAATAGCTGTAAGAATACTCTTGCATTAGTGTGCCATAGTTTAATACACTAATAGTGTAACACTCATTCATGTACACTAATATCTTTTTCACTTTTTTACACAGCCTATTACACATACTATTGAAATAAAAATACTTTGAGATCTAAGACAAATATATATATATATATATTTGTCTAATATACTGTATATATTCTGTTCAATATGTTTTAGAAGTGGAATTGCAAAACAAAAGGATATTTATATGTTAACTTGCTTATTACCAAGAATACATTAGAGTGAAGGTTTTATTTTTAGCTATATATTGTGTTAATCTATTTTTTGTAGAATTTACAAATATTCCCAGTTTGTTCATTGCTTTCTAATTTCATGCACAAGTTTTAAATCTGTATACAGTCGTATCTTTCAATCTTTCTCTTAATGGCTTCTGGGCTTCCTGTCATCTTTAAAGAACCTCTTTAAGATTATACAAATGGCCCTTAACATTTTCTTTCAGTACCTTTATGGCTTTGTTTTTGTTTAAATCTTTAATCTGGTTGGAATTTATTTTCATAAATAATGAAAGAGGAGGTCTAAGTTTATTTTCTTTATAAATGAGTGTTCATTTCCTTCCACACCATTTATTAAACAACCTATCCCTTTGCGGCTCATTTGAATAAAACATTAACATTATATGATAAATTTCCATATATTCATGTTTCTACTTTGAGACTCAGAATTTTATCTGTCTATTCTTTCACTGGTGCCAAATTGCTTTAATTACTAGATTATAAAAAATGTGTTGCAGTGTGGTTAGGCCTGTTATTCGGTTTTTCAAAATCTTTTGGCTATTCTTGTCCATTTTTTCAGATAAAATTTCAAATCCATTTTCTAAGCACCTTTCCTTCTTCTCCAAAAATCTCTCATTGGAATTTTAACTGGTGTTACAATACATGTTTATATTATATTGAGGTTAGATTGATTTGTCATGTAGGAACATGGTGTAAATCTCTTATTTGTCCTATTATGTTCTTCACCAGTGTCATCATAAAGGTCTTACATATTTCTTGATCAGTTAATTTGTAGGCATTTAACTTTTTCTTCCAAAGATATTTTAATCCAAAAACTAAGCACCTTTTTTCAATATCATTTATTGGAAATTTAGGTGAATGGGTGACCTAATCTTTTCAGCTAGAGGAGATGTGGTGTAGTGAATCAGTAAGGACATAATGTTTGCCTCCAGGCTGCTTGGTTCAAATCTGTTTTGACATTTAAGTTTTTTTTTTAACTTTTAAAAACACTTTATTGAATTATCATTTACATCCAATAAAATGCACCCATATAAGTACCAAATGTACACACTCATGAATCCATCATGCAGATCAAGTTATAGAATTTTTCCAAAGCCTAAAAGATTTCTCATACCTCCTTGTGGCTAACACCATTGGTTCCAGGCAACCGCTGCTTCTTTTTATTCATTTGCCTAGTCTAGAATTTCATATCAATGGAACAATACAATATGTACTTTTCTGTGTCCATTTTTGGTTGTTGTTTAATATATAATGAATTATTGGTATGGTTGCCTTTAAATATCCCATCTTGATTTTTGTTTTCTACTTGTCCCATCTGGTGTTTTGTTTCTTTTCCCTCTTTTTCCACCTTCTCTTGGATGAACTGAGTACTCTATCTTATCTTCTATTTTGGATTATTAGTTATGCCTCTTTTTTTTAAAGTGCTTGCTTTAGTAATTATAATATACATCTTCACCAGAGTCTACTATTAAATAGTATTATGTTACTCCATACATCTATATAATAAAAGTCTAAGTGATGTGTGATCCCATTTATTCGAAATGTCTAGAACAGGCACATTTATAGAGAGACAGTGAACAGCAGTTACCAGGAAGCCTAAAGGAGGGCAGAATGGCAATGGCTGCTAATGGCATGGAGTCTATTTTTGAAGTGATGGAATGTTCTGGAATTATATGGCAGCAGTTGTGGCGGTTGCATAGCTTTCTGAATCTACTGAAAATCATTGAATCACCCACATTAAAAGGTGGCTTTTATGGTATGTGAATTACATCTCAGTGATGCTGTTAAAAATGAATGATTTTCTAAAAAGCATTTAAGGTTTTAATCGTGGTTATTAATAACCAGTATTGATTGAGCACCTCCTGCGTGCCAAGTACCCTCTAAATACTTTGCATATATCATCTCACTACACCTTCACAGGTGAGCAGAGTGTGGCTGAGAGAGGTTACATTACCTGCCCATGGTCACTTACTAGGAACTTGTAGCTCGGAGAGTCACAGCGAGACTGCTCCGAATCACAGTGCTGCACTGCCTTTCTGGCTGAGGGGCTGTACAGCACCCCATGGGAGGAGGGAGCCATTAAAAATAAGGAATATCTCTCAGTGGAACATGCTTTGTTCAAATCATGGTAAAAAGTTTCTAATTCTGAAAGGTTGCTATTCTAACTCCTCCCCACCACCCCTAAAATTTGCTTTAGCTTCTTTAAATCTTATTTGATATATTATGTTTCCATCTGATATT